TAAAGGGACTTCTTTTAAAACTAATAAACATAAACAAATATTAATTAATAAGCATAAACAGATATCAATGGTTAATAATAACTAAAAGTGTATGAATCTTTTTTAGTAATTTGTATATTTAATTCGTGATTTTTTTATCAGTTAAAAGATCAACTGATAAAACAACATATTTACATACTTATGATAATATGATTAAAGGTGAGGTATGTATAAAAAAAAAAAAAATATAATTAATACAGAAAAATAAAATAACTATAGAAGAAACTTTAAAATATGAGGAAAAAAACTGTAAAGAAAAAATAAATTTCATGATCTATTTCGATGTAATTAATATTTTGATTTTTTTTATTTTATGTTTTAAATAGTTAATATTTTTTTTAAAAGTTAGTTACCTATATTTTAGGAACTATTACTATCCATTCATAACTCAAAATTAAATGATATTTAAATTTAAATAAATTTTAAGTGATCCCACTAATTGTAAAATATTTAATCGCCACTACATTTTATTTTTATTGTTTATTTTTTTTTATAAATACAATATTATATTATTTTTTAAATAATATTGTTAAGTTAATAACTTCCTAATTGTTTGATGATGCAACTGCAATTTATAATTTTTTTTGTTTTGCTTTATTTGAGGAAATTGAGAACGTGTGCATTTTTTGCTTTTTTATTGATAATAGTTAGAATTATTTATTTTATTTATTAAAAAATGGTTAATCCACAACCATTTTGAGTTTCTTTTTTCTTTAAATTAATAATTACTCTAACTTCAAAATTTAAAATTTGAATTATAATGGGCACTAAAATCACCCTTTAAATTTATCCATTGACTAACGTATCAATATTTATATTTTTTGAATTTAAAAATTAGAAATTACTTTAACTACACAACTTAAAATTCGAAATTATAAGGGAAGTTATATTTGATTTTTTTTTGAATTGTTTTTTTTTTCTTCAGATTTTCTTTAAAATTATTTTTTCAGATTTTATATTAATTTTTGCAATTCATTTATAAATAATTCAAAATATTTATAATAAAAAGATAATAATTTCCCACAAAAAAAGGAAACACACATGTAACTAATTACTATTAAAATTTTGAATTTTAAAAAACTGTAAAAAGTTAAAATAATAGTAAAAATATGATAGTTAAAAAAAATTATTTTCAAATTTATTTTAAATTATAAAATCTTCTAAAATTACAATTTTAAGATATTAAAAAAAAAGTTATAAAATCTTCTAAAATTACAATTTTAAGATATAAATTTTTTTTTAACTATAAATGTAACTTTTTCGCTTTCCTTTAATGATTTCTGAGTTCCTGCAATCAAATATATAAAAATAAATTCTAAAAGGGAGCATTTTTTGTTAATAGAAACACCATTGGTCATATTAATCATATAATTAGTGATAAAAACCTTTAAAAACTATAAAATTTAAATTGCGGATCACTATCATAAATTTATAAAATTTATTAATTTGTTTTGATGGCCCATTAGTTCTCCAATAACACAATATAGATTTTATCTCTTATTATAGTTATCAAGTCTCTTTTTCTTTCAAAGAAAACACCATCATTAATTGATCTATCCCTTGTTTGATATTATGAATTTTTAAAATATAAAATTTAAATTTCATAGCCATTGAATTGAAATAGTAAGACAATGGATTTCAACAATATCCTGAAGCCAGAATTGACTTCAAATTATACACATATACAGGCGAAATAAATGGGTTAAAAAAATCTAGACTAATAAATAAAATTCATAAAAAGACATAAATCCTATTTATCAACTATATTTAATTCATCTAACTAAGAATAAATTTTCAAAAAGCAATTAAGAATTAAGAAAAATTGATCATAAAATTCTATACATAAATTCATATATACAGACACATAAAGGGAGAAATCTTACTAATTAATTTTGCCAGGAGATGACATTGCTGGGAAAAACACATGCATATAGATATATTAGAGTGAGAAATTGTAAAAGATAAATTTGTTGCCGTAAAGGAAATAAATTTTAATCGTTTATTGAACGAAGTGAAGTGATAGATCCATTGGTTGCTAATGATTGATTATTGCAAGAGAGTTTTTGAATGAAAGAAAAATCATTTGGTATGAACTGATATACTACCATTAAGGATAATGCTAAACCGTTTATATTCGGTTGTTGCTAATTTGTAGGATGTGGATAAAGACTAAGAAAATATTTCTTATTTATTATTATAATTTTATTGATTTTGTTTTTTTTTTATAATTTTAATGCTTTTTCTTTGTCATGCTGACAATTTTATCTCTTCTATTTTAAAAAAATAAGTAAATTACGTGAAGTTGTAGTGATTTCAAACATGAAAACAGTAGTTAGTTTGCATTTTATTAGGATCAAATATATTTAATTTTTTATTATTATTTAAAAAGAGACCACTTCAAAAGTTTTTAAGGTACATGAATCCTAAAAACTGTTTAATTTTATTTTTAAATTGTTATTTTTTTTATTTAATATATCTATAAATTAAATTGTTGTATTAATTATTTAATATATCTAGAAATTATGTGGTACTGACATGTGGCACTATTTCCTCTCCTATTATATAGATATAATATATATAGATATAGATTACCCTATTTTAATCTGTTAAAGCATTATCCTATTTTAATCTGTTACCTATATTTTAGGCATCACTATTACTATTTCCGTAAATCAAAATTTAAAAAGTAAAAATCATTAACGTGTCTTTTTTTTTTTTTTTTTTGCAAATCTATTTTTGTAATTTCTACCTTTAAAAAAGATACTGTTTTTAAAATCATATATGGAGTTTGTTATTTTGCTTTTCAAAATAACTGTTTTGCTTTTTAAATTGTAATTTATTTATATAATATAATTACAAATAATTTATTTTAGTTATACAGAAAATTAAAAATTTGATGTTGATTTGGATTTTGGATAAGTATAATATTAATAAAATAGAGAAAAAAAGGAGATAACAATTTATATTTATTTTTTAGTTGCTATAAATAAGGAGCTTTTTTTGTGTATAGGGTAAAAACATGATGTTAAAACTGTTTTAAATTAAAAATGGATAATTTTTAATTATTTAATTATTGATTATTAATTATTTAAAATTCTGAAAATTTATGGTGTTGACATGTGTCATTTTTTCTTCTCCTTTTATATATAGA